GGGTGTCCTTCAACGGGGCTCTGCAATGTTCGGTGGCTCCGATCTGCGGTGGCAGGGTCGCTGTGAGCGGTGCCTGGTTGGGACCTTGTGGACAGCGTTGTTTAAGAGATGGGCGCTCTTGTGAGCAGACGAAGCCTGTCCCGTCGGTACCACTGCCACAGGCAGGGTGAGGGCCTTGAAAGCGGGCGCCGATCAAGGCTGCCCAGGGCGCATGAGTTACCCCCCGTTGGGCGGGAGAGTCAGCACAGCACGTTGCACAGACTGCACGGCTTCTGCAGGACGATCAGTCGCGGCAGCGCTTGTAGGGGGCTGCGAACATGGATGTCGATGATTGATGCGTCGAAGGGGATCGCCTTCGATTGCGACCGTTGCGTAACACAGTGGGGCCTTATTGGCCGCGGCACAAGCAGCATGCGCCTAACGGTGGACGCCACAATTGCGTTTGCGGCCTTATCGGATGAGTGTGCCAGGGGAACTTGACCCCATTTTCCGTTGTTGTAGTTGCCCTCAGGCTTCTTTCACGCGTTGTCGGTAGGCAATGGGGATTAGGTCTTGGAATGGGCACGCTGCTCCCTATGCACAGCAGCAATATGACAGGAGTACAAGGCATATGGTTGGGGCCCTGCGTTGTGAAATGCAGACTTACAGAGGGATAGAAAATTGCAGCACAACAGATGTAAATGCTTGTCAGTACACCAATATCTGTTTCACGTGGCCTGACATATGAATCCCCTTGTTTGTTAGTGGTTTGAAATTCAAATGTTTGGCCCTGCCATGCACTGTCTGGTAATGGAACTCTGAGTTTGGCCCTCGTCATCTCTTCTTGTGAAGACCATTGAGATTCTTTCTACTTGGACAGAGTCCAGTTGCCAGCCCAGCAGCCAGGTTTGTTCGGGTCAAGCCTAAACGGATCCAGATATGCTCCCTGCATACCTCTTGTGTCTTGTGGCTTGCTGACGTTTCTCAGTGCCGGTTGTGGACAGGATGCCACAACAGAGGACATGTTATCATCAACAGAGGAGATGCTCTCATCCCCAACCTTCCTGTCGAACCTTGCCACCTTTTTGAAGCCCCCACACGTCCTATTGCAAGTGCTGGCGAACGATCCTCCCACAACCACACCTGACGTGGATGAAGCTCTTGAGCTGCTGCCTGATTTTCCATGCTCTTTGCAAGATCCATTTCCCAAAGGTGCCCTACAGGTGGACGTACATTCCCTCCCCCTTAGCCTCCAGCTTGAGCACCCAACGCTTCAATTGCTGAGGAACAGGATGAAGCGAGGGAGCAAGCCTGGCAAGAGACGAGATGGGTGCAAGCTGGGCCTCGTTGTGGAAGGCGGTGGAATGAGAGGTGTTGTCTCAGGTGGCATGCTGATGGCAGTTCATGACTTGGGGATGCGGGATGCTTTTGACGCTGTCTATGGGAGCTCAGCAGGTGCCATCAATGCCACCTATTTTCTCACAGGGCAGGTGAGCCATGCCGATCGGCTTGAAGCTGTTTTGAATTGTGAGGCGCCAAACACCTTGAAGCAGAAATCAACTGGATCTATCTAGTAGCAAGGCTGTGCGGAGCCAGCCTTTGGCATCAGTGCATCGCCCAGTGACCAGAATTCAAATCAAGAGCGAACGGTAGATGTTCATGTTCCTATAGCCTGCACTTCACCAGAATGTGTTTCACAATTCTGTTGTCCTGACTCCTGATGCTCATGAAGGCCCATGATAAGATTGAAATTCTCCTGTGAAGACCTCAGTCAAACCTTGGTGAACACTGCTCCTGTGCCTGAGAGACTATGGCAGCAATTATCTGCATTGATATGGTTTGTTCTGTGGATGTTATGTGCCTGGCAGACTATCAGCAGTGAGGTGCTGATATTGATGTGGTGTGCAGCCATACGGCCTCGATGTGTATGCCGATGACATTTCAAACAAGACTTTCTTGGACTTCAAGCGCATCATTGGGCCTGACCCTGTGATGAACCTGGACTTTTTGATCGACTACGTTATGAATGAGGTCAAGCCAATGGATTTCGAGAAGGTTATCGATTCTCCCATCCCCCTGAAAGTCGTTGCATCATCATTGGATACACTGCAGCCGATCCTCCTTCAGAGTTTTTCAACGCCCCAGGAATTGGCTGAGGCCCTGAAGGCTTCAGCCACAGTACCTGAAATCGCTGGTAGCCCAAGGGTGATCCAGGGTGAAAGGCTGGTGGATGCAGCTGTGTTTGAACCCATTCCCTACAGGGCTGCCATCAAGGATGGGTGCACCCATGTGCTTGCCCTGTGCAGCAAACCACCCAGTGTGCAGAGTCCTGTTCAGAAGGTGGTAAGAAAGGTGGTTGACATAGCTGTTAATCGGATAATAAACAACCCTCCATACATGAAGGCTGCTTCCCAGGTTTGGCTGGAGGAGATGAAAACGAATGGTGGACTGACACAGGAAGAGCTGATGTTGATATCCATGTTCCAGGGGCTGAAAGGGGGATCGCCCTCAGCTGCTGGGGGCCAGATTTTGCCCATATACCCACCGCCCCGGCATTTTCTTTCTCCGACTTGCACAGTTCCCTCCAAGTTGAGGATGGGGGCGGAAGCTGGCAGACTGTCTGCATGCAGGGTGCTTGAGCCCTTGGCAAGTGGGCCGACAGGTCTTTTTCCGTTCTTGAGCAGCAGGGTGCTTGAGCCCTTGGCAAGTGGGCCGACAGGTCTTTTGCCATTCTTGAGCAGCAGGTGGAACATATAGATTATTTTGCATGTGTTCTGTCAATAATTCAAAGGTGTAGTTGTGAGGCCACTTCCCTGGGACTGCATGGCGGAGGCAGAGAGAAATTTGGTTGAGAGTGAGAGCCTGGGGATGGACTGCAACGCCGCATCATGCTGGCAGTGCCAGCCAAGCCGGCTGTTGGGCAGCGTGTTTGTGCAGGGATTGTTGGGGATTCTCTTGGATTGGTATTGGCTGAGTGTACAGTAGCCACACACTTTTTTCCTTGTTGAGGGTAGCGTTGGGATGGAGTGTGCAAAACTGAAGCAAGATGCATGGATGGGCTGACCACAACAAGGCGGCGTTCGTATATGGATCAGCAGAGGACAGGCCCCTGTCATGCTTGTTGTTCTCATTCGAGGTGGACCTGTTGGCAATTCATGGAATTGGGAATTACCAAGTGTAATTTTGCATTCTCACAGCACTTGCTGCAAATGTGGGAATACAAGCAGCAATTGTTCATCACTGCTGCTTGCTCCTCACACTCTTGCCTACTTTCTTCATTCTGATTGTGAACAGGATTTTGGGGGTCATTTAACGAGGGTGTTCCGGAAGAGATATTGCCCAGGATACGTTTAGGGTGCATGCGCAGACGCTGAAGTGTTGATCGACATGCAATCTCTGTGTACAGCCATATCGAAGGCCACTGCAAATAACTGTGGGGATGGCAATCCCTGGGAATTGGAAACAACAGTCCGTCCCCTAACGAAAGCGAGCGACATAGTGGGGTGGGCACTGACAGCGCTACATTCAATGCATGCGATGTGTTGTTCGGCCCCACCGCCAAAACACCACAAGGTTCTGTTTAAATATGCGCTACTCTTCCAATGCAACCACAAAGTTGAATGCAAAAGTGTGGAATCGAACATCTGGATGAATAATATCACCTCCAGCCGCCAGCAACAAGATCCCCACCCATCCGTGATGTTCCATGACAACTGGCCATTGTCGTTCATCATCAAGGAGGAAAGAGGAACATCTCAAGGCAAGGAGGTGCAAGTGGCGAGGAGGTCAAGGTGGTTCAAAGACATCTGAGTGGGCGAACGTGCAAGTCAACAATGATATTCTCAGATTCTCAGATTCTCGAATTCTCAGCTTGGTTCTTCATTTGAACTTGAGACTCTAGCAGGCACATGGGGACTATTGGGTCTTGACTCGTCTCTAGGAAAAATGGAGTGAACCCTTTAGATGAATTTATGGCATTATTGGCCGCAAATTCTGCTAGTGGTAGCTGGCTTCACCCAGGTTGACGGATTCTGTTCCACGTAAGGCCGTAAATGACTCTAATGTTCTGATCATCACCTCCGACTACCCATCCGTATGAGGGTGGAAGGCGGTACTGAATTGAAGATCCATCACCAGCAACTCAAATAACGTTGTCCAAAATTTCTTAGTAAACATAGGATCTTGTTCAGAGATGATCACTTCTGGCAACCTGTGGTGACAGAACACCGTGTCGACCAATATGTTGGCATAATCTGGAGCCCTAACCTCCTTGGTATATAGAGGAAAATGCACCCGTTTAATCAGTCAGTCCACAAAAACCGCGACTGCCATGTACCCTTCTGCCTTTGGGAGGTCTATAACCAAGTTTGTGGTCACTTGACTCCATTTCCGCTCTGGTAGTGGGATCAGCTGGAGTGGCATTGCCTTCTTTGTGTTATCTGCTTTTACCATCTGACAAGTAGAGCATATACGAATATAACTTGTGGCATCTCCTCGCATGCCCCTCTAGTAATGTGCTCGTTCCAATAACTCCAACGTTCACCATATTCCCACATGACCAACAGATGGGATATCATGACACTCCCTCAGGATCCGTTGTCTCAGCAATGTGACCAAAAAGGTGACGAAATAGCTGCGGCTACATAGGTGAATTTGTGTACAACTATGCAAATGGCTAAGCGGGCAAAACAGGGTCTCATGTCCCTTGCCCTAAACCCTACCAACTGAAACATCGGTTTCAACCCTCTTTCTAGCATTAATATCATATTATATATCGTAATAATGTTTTAGGTGTGCTTATATGTAACAATACCTTGATTTTTCTATTTAATTTTGGTTTGCAAATATTTGCAAATCTTGCACATGGCCATATGAATGATTTGAATCATCATGAATGCAATATTGGATTGGCATTGAGAAACAGGAATTTTCTCATTATTTGCCTGCTCAACGATTCTATTTTGGGAAATCATTTCCCATCATTATGGTGGAGAGTCCATGTTGCAGTAGCCCATAATCCCAAACCGGTTCTACAACAACAGGATATCTATGGCATAATTTGAACATGGCTATATGATGAGTTGGCAGATGATTGTCTAGGCATTTGTGATAATAAGGATATTGGGGATCCAAATTAGCAAGTGGGTGTTTGTGAGGGGAAGAATAAGTAGTTGTGCTTCATTCTACTATTTGCAAGGAAATCCAATATAAAACTTGGAGTTGCACTTATAAATACTAGTATGTAAGCTTGAGCCCTATGTTTGAGTTGCATTGTGGGCGACGGTGGGGTGGTGCAGAATGTGGATTTGCCTGTGAGCACTCTGAAGTGATGGTTGAAGTCATCATTCAAACGACTAACCTCAGCACAACACTAATTTGAAGGTATTGTAGTGGTGAAGATATTGAGCCGAAATAAGTTGAAACAAAGTAAAATATGTACATGAATGATAATTAAATGAGAAATAAAGCAATACCTAGGAAGTCGTCACTTGGGTGGTTGACCCAAGCATTATGCCAATATGATATAAACCCAATATGATATTGCCACCATGTGCTGAGATGCATTGTGGAAAGAAACAATCTATTAAATGTAGTCATTGAATTGGGAGAAGCCACTACTCCTGCACTCTTTCAACAATAATTAACAAGGCACTAAGTGGCTAGCACTTTGTTGAAAGTATAAGGAATTGCCATTGCCGTATTGTTTGAAGTAGCATGCTCCCTGTGGTGTAAAGCATAGGGGGTAGCGTGTTTCCTTGGTTATGAGTATCTAGGAAGTATAATAAACATTAATGAACAATCTTATTCGTTAGTTGAGCTTACTAAGAACCCATAGGTTCTTGAATCAGGCCATTCGGGATAGCGGTAGTGGAGATATAGCCATTAGAAGTTCTAGCACTTAAGGGCGCCTCCACAACCGTACTGGGGGATAAGATATTATCGATACGGTGACGCTGTCCACACTGTCACGTGATGTGGGGCATGCCAAAGGGTGGCCCCAATGCCCGACGGATTGTAACTCTTGCCGACCACTCACCTCCACGTGGCTGCACCCGCGAGCCGCACCAACGTGGTGCACCCACTGCGCGCACTACCTCCCTGTGCCTGGCCGATCGCAGAACTGGGCCCACACTGCGCACCCTGAAGGAACGAGCGCCCCGGACCGCCCACCGTCATTCGGCGGAGGAGGCCATTCCGGCCGGATTGGGTGCCGCGGCGGGCACATCGCCCGCGCATCGAGCCAAAAACCACGCCACTCCCTGCACAGCATAGCTGGGTAGAGCATTATAATGTGGCCTATATTCAGAGTGTCAACAACCACTTAGCCTGGCCTATCAACCCTGCAATATGTAAATCCATCAAAGCAAATTCTCACACCTTAGCATGCACATGCCATCCCCACTTCATAGCATTCCACATTCCTTGCACACCACAATTGGGTAGAGCATTGGGACTGTTTTATAACAAGATTATCAACTAGTCAACCTCTCAACTAGTCAACTAGTCAGCTCCACCATTTGTGAATCTATCTAACCCAATCGATGCAATGCCTCTGCATGCCGATCAATACCATTTTGGACTGCACCAACACCTGAATCTCCAAATGCAACACCGTGCACATATCTGCAGTGTAGAACTAAACTTATAGAGGCACAAAACGCATTCTTTCATTACCACAAGCATTTCAATGGTTGCTTTTGTTGAGGGACACTAGTCTCATGATATTCTGAGTGGCAAAGATGAAAAAATGCTTTTTTCTGATATGTGCTTCCAAACATGACTCCTATGTCTATTTGCAATCGAGAGCTCCAATGTTCAATATACGATGATGGTCATGCAAAGGTATAGCACAACAATCTTAAGCACATTAATCTTTGCACATTCTGGGTAGCGGCATGCAAACTTGGTGTTCCAAGCTCCCGCAAGGGCAGATTAAGGACGATCAAGACTTTGCAGTCAGCGCAATCATACTCCTTGCCCTTCCAAACCAAGCAACGATTCTGAAAGTGTACATTTCAAGTGAAAACAAGGTCCTTTACAATTGCTGGATTGCACCAGCTTGTTGTGTGAGTCTAAATGAGTAGTGAGTCGAAAGACTTCGCTCTATTTATAGTCTTGAAGGATTTGCTCTAGAAATATCTTGATAATACTAGTAACATAGCCAGTAATGCATCACAGAAACGTCCCAAATATATTTGAGAGATTTGGCGACTATTCTGTATAGTAACTAATATTATATTAGTTACTATACAGAATAGTCGCCAAATCTCTGTTGGCACTATAATAGTGTATTAGGCTGGACACATGTGCACTATGTGCGTGGTGCCCTTTGATTAATGTGGCATACTTGGCGGTTAGGCGCTTATGTAGTGTGTGTTGATTTCAAACAAAGACAGTGCTTTAAAAGCCTTGTTCTCACCCTTGTAACTCTACGCTCTGTGTGCAGTATAGTTAGCTTGATGTCACATCCCGCCCCCACACTCATGGGATGTATGGCAGGCTAGGGTCTGGAGGAGCCAGACAATGTGCCGCAAGGTAACATGCGGGGGAGGCAAGCAGCTGTGCACTCGGGGTTGCGCACAATACAGGTGGGTGGTGAAGGCGGCCTCTGAGCGGACCAAGCGTGGCACCTCCCGGGCGCCCGCTCACAGTGCGCACACCTATATAAATTGGTAGCGGGCGCCGGCGGGAGTGACCATATAGGAGGCTATGCTCCCTGCGCAAATGGGCTTCGCGGGTAGTGAGAGGCGGTGTGA